TGAGGCATTGGGGAATGGCAGGACCCTACCATAGGCTAGATGAGACTCAAAATGGGCCTAACAGTTGCTTAACTGATGGAGACCAACAGATCCTGAAGCTCCAGGAAAAGCACTAGGCAAGCATCTGAGGGAGTGGTGTCTTGAAGGGCAGGTATCCTGCTGCAGTATTTGTTGTTCCAACTAATTCCCTTTGCAGAGACCATTTCTGCATCACTGTACCAAGCTGATCAGCCCAGGTCTGTGTCCTGGACATGGAGGCTGGAGACTGTCCCTGCTGCTGCAAAGGGGAGGCCAGTGCCTGCAGGAAACAGCAAGCCTGGGGCTGATAAGACAGTTTTTACTTGCCAGTGGGGCCCAAAGGCACAGGTGCTGATGGGAGCTGCCTAGAGTTTTCCTCCGTGTTTTATCACCTACCTTAACCTACAGGTAGTTGCTGGGTCCTCTCGTGGCAGCTCATCATGGAGGGATTTCTGCACTTGGGGCAGGAGGTATTTCTGCTCCTTCTATTCCTTCTCAGGCTGCCTAGTTTCATGGTGCTGAGTGAGCTCCTGGGGAACTGTGGAATAGCAAATCTTTTCTCTGAACCCTGACAGCTCCTGGGCTGTTGAGGCCCAGAGGGAATTAATAGCAGAGATGAGCATTGTATGTTGTGCATTAGGAGCAAGGCAAACAAGTGAATTTAGAGGAGAGATGTGCTGAGGCGATGTCAGATCTGCCTCTGCGGTTATACAGTTGCTGCTGTGAACGTGTATTGGCAATTTCTTGTGTTACCAGCTCTGCTTTTTAGCAAGGCTGTGTAGCACTTCCGTGCTGGTTTAGATCATCTTCTCAGCTGTCTGTAATTGCACTATGCTTAGATGTATTTGGGATTAAATTTTTCATGTTGCAGATTGTCTTGAGCAGTTTGATTTTTCTCCACCCCACCTGCCACCATTGTAATTTATTTTCTTTTATTTCAGTTCAGTACTTTCTGTTGTTTTGCCTGCATTAGTATTTCCCAGTGCTCTTGCCTCTTACTACTTCACTCTCAGTATCCCCTGCTGGACTCTTTTCCTGTTGCTATGCCAGGATCTTCTGGATACTGCATCCAGCTTCAGCTCTTCTCAGGCTTTTTATTGAGGTTTCTAGTTTATAATTTGGTCTCAGTCCCCATCTTTTGAATACAACAGCTTCCTCCTTTTTTCTATCTGAGGACTAACACCTTCATACGTAATTCAGTGACTCTATGGGACCCTTCTCCTGTCCAGTAACTGCATGTTTTCCAACCACACTGAGCTTGGCTAATGCAGGGGCAATTATTGTTTCAGCATGGCTGGAGCATTGCAGGACTTGGCTTCCCCCTCCTGTTCCTGTGTTGCTGCCCACCCTGCCTGTACATACAGGTTCTGAGGGGACAGCGTTTGTTCACAAAGGGATTGCAAAGTAAAACCCATTCTACCAAGAGCACACAACCTGCACCTCCCCTCTCCCTAAAGGTGCCAGCAGGGCTGCGAGTGAACCCACATGGAATCAGAAGTAGCATTGAAGGTGCCAGCAGGGCTGCAAGTGAGTGAACCCACATGGAATCAGAAGTAGCATTTTCTTGACTCTGAGGTCACAACTGTTAAAAATTTCAACCCCAGGTCCCAGAGCACTGGATCGCAGAAGAATTTCAATGAGAATAGCTTTCTAATCTGGACAAAATGAAGGGCTTTTTCCATTGCTGAGGAGTGTTTAGGATGTCTTTGGCCAGAAAATTTGCCCTCTGATTCAGCTCAAGGAAAAGCCCAATATGGGAAATGTCACCTTAGATAAGTAAAACCCAGCCAAGTTCTGAACAACCTAAAGCTAAACGCTGGAATAGAGAGCATGAAGCTATCTTAATTGCCTGGAACACTACCATTCATTCCCCTGCCTGTCTGGTACGTTCTGGTGCTCATATGGCCACTGTTAATTCATGCTGGATTGTTCTAATTAACGCCAGTGAACTGTTTAGCCAGAAGACTGCGGAGCTCTGCAGCTGCACAGGGGGCTGGAGGAACGTCTCCTGGTTTCTTTTTCTGTTTTTCCCTCCCTTGTGGACAGGCACCGTTTCTGTCTGGAACCAATAGCAGACAATTTTCTGTTTCATAATAGGAAAATACTAATGTCAGGACGCCCTCCTTACCCAAAGCTTTCTCCTTGAAGATTGCTCCTCTTTGCTTTCCTAATTGCCGCTGCTCAGCTGGAGGTAGCGCGCGCCTTCCAAACACATCATTTTGTTATGCTGGTACTTACCAAAGGGAAAAAAGAGTATGAGAGAATATTGCTTCGTGTTGAGCTTTCTTTCCTTGCTTTAACCCTTTCTGTGCTGACATGGGGCATTTTTCTCTAGCACAGAATGTTTTGCTATTGGCAGTACGTGCTTTTTGGGGCTGAAGCTCTGATGTGAAGAACACCTAGAAGTAACTTCTGCTGGAATCTGAGAATGCCTCTAAATTGTGTTCTGTTACTAAAGCATCTTCTTTGGAGTCACTGAACCTATATAGCAATCTTCAGAGAATCATAGAATCACAGAATGGTTTGGGTTGGAAGGGACCTTAAAGATCATCTAGTTCCAACCCCCCTGCCATGGGCAGGGACACCTCCCACTGGACCAGATTGCTCCAAGCCCCATCCAGCATGGCCTTGAACACTTCCAGGGATGGGACATCCACAGCTTCCCTGGGTAACCTGTGCCAGTGTCTCACCACACTCATAATGAAGGATTACTTCCTAATATCTGATCTAAATCTTCCCTCTTTCAGTTTGTAATTATTCCCCCTTGTCCTATCACTACATGCCCTTTTAAGAAGTTCCTCTCCAGCTTTCCTGCAGGCCCCTTCAGGAGCTGCCAAATTGATGTGAAGTGTAGGTGGGTTGGAGACCATAGTGATTTCAGTGAAGTCCTGGGATCAGGTTGGCTGAAAATTCAATGCTTGGAGTTACCCTTCCTTGAAGAGTGGCAGGTCTGAAGCCTGTGAGAGCAGAGCCTCAGGGTAGGCACTGGAGGCAAGTTCTGCATGTTTCTTAGGAACTGAGGAACCAGCTGTAGCTCACAGGTGTTTGACTTGCTGCATCTCTGCTCTTGGCTCATGGGCCATGCTCTTGCAGGTCAGTGACCAGGAAAATTAACAGAAACACTGTTTTCTTCAGAAACTTAAGAAATGAGCAGGTCTGGCCTGTTGTGTGCCACCTCACTGATGGGGGTAAGTAGGTTACCATCCAGGCAGCCAGGGCAGGTTCCTGAATCCCTTGGGGTGTTTTGGGGGTAAAAAGAAAACCATTGCCTGTAGTAGAGCTAGAATGGAGTATTGGTGTGTGTGGACACAAGGCCATCAGGAATTTCCTGGTGGCTTGGAAGAAGGAAGGAGCTCGTTCAGAGCAGTGAGATCTGCAGAAGCGAAGTTGAAGCCTGATGATTAACCCTGTCAGTCTGGAGGGACCATGCAAAGCTAAAAGAGCAGCCCTTAGTTTAGTCTTCCATTGTACTGCTGTGGCTTCAGCCTCGGAAACCACTTTGTTTAACCACAGAAGGAAAGGGGAGCTGTGGGGAAAAGGGGGGTGTCACTGCTAAGGCTCTTGAATTCATCACCAGCTGCCTTGCAGCGAGTGGAGTTGTGTCCTGCTCCAGCTCATAAACATCTGTAAAAGAAAAAGAGTGGAGAAAGGACTTTCCCAACATATCAGGAGGGTCTCATCCTGTTCTTGAGTGAGGTACTGCTGTCCGGATCCTGGGCATCTACCTACCTGTATCTATATTTTTGTTGGTTTCACCAAGAGAAGCAGTTGTGGTGGTCTCAGCCTGGTGGGTGTCTCTAGCCAAGCCTCTCCTTAGTCCTGCCTTCCTGCTGCCAGCACGGGGTGAAATGTGGGGGGTTCTGAGGTATGTGTTTGTCTTGTAGAAGCTGCTTGTGTGCTATTTATGTTTGGGTGCTGCTCTGAGATGCAGGGCAGATCAGGGCAGATGTTTTGTGAAAAAATGGTTTCTGCACCACCTGGTCTCTTCCTTCATTGTCATGGTCAGATCTGCAAGAAAATGGCAGTTATGGGCAGAGTATTTCATCTCTAATGGAGCTCCAGCAAAGTGTGCCCCATGGGAAGCAATGATTCAGCTCGCAAGGATCATGCAAGCTTGGGTAGGTGCCAGACATGCTTAGCATGGAAATCACAGCTAAGCATGGAGTCAGCTACCTCCTTGGGGAGGTCCAGCTCTCCTTGGAGAGTTTTATGCTGCCAGATGTCTTCATGCCTGGAATTGTAGGGTAGGTATTTGCAAGTAGCCCTGCAGCAGAATCCTGTTTACTGGGTGGTTTTCTTCATGTATCTTACTTAAGAAAGATAAGGCATGGGTTGGTTTTTGGTTTTGTTTTTCCTAATCTCAGCTGATTGTAAAAGCTCTTCCCTTTCCCCTGTATTGGTTGCATCTGAGTGTGCAGACAAGCTAAGTTAAAAAGTCAGGAGTTTATCTGAGGAGGTGACTGAGAGCCTGGTGGTTGCCAGGTCTTGTGGTAGGACTGAGTGACCCTTCTTGTTGGGGCAGCACTGATGCCAACAGCACTTTCCTTGGTGCTGGCATTGTCCCCTGCAGTCGTGTTATGTGGCTTGGAGGGGCAAGCCCACAGGTCACAGCCTCCTGCTTTGGGTGCAAACAGTCAAATCTAGGTAACTGCAGATGATCTTCAGGATAATCCCAGTGTCTTCCCCCACCACAGCCTGGTTGAGTTCTGGACTAGTTGTAGAAATCCTGATTTCCTGAGGGTGTCACTTTACTATGGCTCCTCTAGAGACAAGGCAGCTAGAAAGCCAACGGTGTGGGCACCAATTTTTTTCCTGGTTGCAAAGTCTTTCTTCCCTTGCTCCTCTCATTTTCAAAGCTGATTCTGTTACCTAATCCACATTGCTAAAATTCGTCTGTGTTAGAGGATCAGCTTTTCTGTAGGAAGGCTGCTGTACTTGTCTCTAATATTGACTGTCTTTCTTTCTCTTGTTTCCCTTCTTAGATCTACAATGAGAACAGAAACCTGTTTGAAGTCAAGGAGAATGTGCCCAGGAAATTGGTGGAGAAGGTTGCAGGAGACATTGAGAGCCTCTTGGCCAAGAAAGTCCGTGCTTTAAAGGTAAGGTGATGGACATGTGTGTTGATCCTTTGTCTGACACCTTCAGTTTAAAAAAGAGGGCTGATGCTGGTGCAGCACTATAGTCTCAGCTTCAAAGTCACTCCTATGGGTATGTGGCCTTTTCTGGGAACTGCATCCTGCAGTCACACAGATTCATGTGAAGTATGTCTGGCGTGTGAGGCAAGGACATATCATGTGAGGATCTACTGTAGGCATCTTCTTCCTTTTTGTCTCCTCCCACCATCATGTGAACATCTGAAGGTGCTGCCACAAGAATATGAGTGACAGCAAAACCCTGTGGTGTCTCTGATACAGCTCATGGACATGTTTCAGACAAGTAGGGGTTTTTTCCTGTTGAGGAGAGGATGCATTCAAATGTTTGTGCTGGTGCCTGGTACTTGAATCCTGTGACTGACTGCAAATGTGAGTTGCCCTCATGGGTGCTTGTGTACATTTCCAATCTATTTTGTAGCACACTTTTAAAAATAAATTCGTTTTATCTGTAGTGGAGAGAGGTCACCTGCTTTTGGTACCAGCTTGGTAAAACCCAATGGTAGCTGTAACAAGGCAGAATTGGTTGATGCACTGTTAAGAGCTTGCCTGATGCTGGACCCAAAGCAGAGGATTGGTTTTGGCAGCACTGGTTAGGTAACAAGCATGTGGTCCTGTTTTGTTGTAGTGGACATAATGACCTGAATTTGTCCCTTCAAGAGGGCTCCTTCAGAGCACAAGTCGCCAGATGGAGCAGTCTCTTACATCCAGCGTGCATGTAAATTCTTGGCATCTTAGATTGGTGATACTGGCAAAAAAAATAGAAATGGGCAAGTAGATGGGAGGGGGAGAAGTGGGATCTTCTGAATTTTTTCCACCTTGTGCTATGCTCCTTTGAAGCAGTTGGGCTCCTGCAGCTTCTTCCACTCTCCAGCCTGTGTTTTCTTCTGTCTCAATTCTTTACTTAGTTGAATCATCCCTCCTGGAGTCATTTCCTTCCCTACTCTCATGACTCATGAGACTGATGATGACTTCTTGAAATGTATTTTTCAGCATCTGAGTCAGGTGGGACTCCATGTATCAGCAAGAGCAGGTGAGGAGGGAGAAATGGATCCTCTCCTTGAACACGAATTGTCACTTCACTCATTTACTCACTCTACTGAGAAGATGCCTCCCTGTCTTCTTTGCTGCAGGAGAGACAAGGGATTGTGCCTGTGCTTTGGTGAGGCTTTGTAAGAAGGTGCTAGCTAGCCTTTGGGCACAGATGGTGGGATGCACGCTTCTAGAGTGACATTCTGAATAGGTGGTGATTCAGGCCAGCCATCAAAGAGCCTGTTTTCCTCTGTTTTTACATTAAAATATTAATGTGTCTTTATTAAACTGTGTGCAGAGCACTTGCTAATAATACGTAGTTTCTTGCCTCGTGCATTGCATTTCTAAGAAGCAGAAATCAAGCACAAAGAAGCCCAAACTGGGCTGTCTGGCCCTGCCAGCCATGGTGCAGCATTCTGGTGTGGTCTGGCACTAGCAGGACACTGATTTCACATGTGGTATTCGGAGGAGTGCTGGAGCCAGGGGTGTGTGGCAAAGAGGGTAATTGCTTCATAAAATAACAGTCATCTACAAGGGGCTGGTTATTTGGATGTTGTCCCTTCTTTTCTGTTCCAGACCATCATATCTGATTACAGTCTCATCATGGGACAGAAATATTCCTAGGAAGATCTTTTTGTGATTCCCACCTGTTCCAATTGGCACTAGGGAAGAGCATCTGCTGCTGGCTCCTGGGGGACTTGTACCCTGTGTCACACACAGCAGCCTCTATTTGACATGGTATTTTATCACCACTAACTGCCCTTTTCCCCAGCATCCTCCAGGTCCCTTTCTCCATGATGATTTCATTGCTTCAAGCCTGTCCTCACAGTCATCTTTGGGCTCGGAGGTTCAGCTGCCTTCTATTCCAAATATTTAGGAGGAGAGAAGGTAGAAGAGATGGTCTTCAATACCGAAAGTACAGCTACTTTCCTTTGAAATGGAAATAAAAGATACTGCTAAGGTGGAGTATGTCCTGAAGAAGATGACATTAAATTTAGAGTATTGCATTGTGGGGAGGTTCCAGGGATGTTGCTACAGGGAAGGTGTAAGGAAACAGTAGGTATGTTCCCAGCTGGGTCAAGGTTTAAGGGGCTGCTCATGTCCATGCTCATGATCTTACCCTTGTTAGGGCTAAGAAAGCCATCTTTCTTCACAGGTGGAAAGGAATGAGGTGGCAGGTTGACAAATTACTACAAATCCTGTTGTGTTTTCCTGGTTCTAGGAATCACAGCTGGCTGGCTTGGGGATCAACATCATCTCAGACTAGAATTCTACAGGTTGTTTGCCAAGTAAATTCTTATGCAACTTTTTGTGTTTTGTTTTGTTTTTACTTAAATTTATCTCTCTTCTTCAATCTCTCATGTGTTTGGACCCCTCCTTGCCTTTATATGTGTCCAGAGAGATATGTACCTGTAGGCCAGGGCTTCTTTCGTGAGCTTTTTAAGGACACCAGCCTTTGCAGTTTGCTGCTGGTGGAGCCAGGGCAAAGCCATCACCTGGGGGTGGGCATGGGGCAGCTGCTGTCTCTGAATTCCCAAACCCCAGGGGCATTTTTCTCTCTTCCACTTTCTTTTCTTCTCTCAGTGTAGCCTGTCCAGGATTCCCCACTTCACCACAGTGGTGAGACCTTCCCTTCCTCTAAAGCCTCTGTGGCTGTTTGCTGAGTCTGGTGAAGATGAGCCAACTCCCTTGCTATCAAATCCAGCCCCTTGCCTTCTCCATCTGCCCAGGACACAAGAGCATCTCTTCTGCCCTTCTCTGTGCTGTTTGCTGTTCCTGGTATGCCTGCAGAGCTGCTTCTTCCTCCCACACCATGTCCCTGAATGCTCCAGCCTTATCTGCTGCTCATGGCCACCTAGGAGACCTCAGCAGCCCAGCCCCACTTCCTCACCTGTGCTGGCAATGCCAGCCAGCGTAGATCAAGGTGAGAGGATGGTGGGGGAGCTGCTGAGGTGACAAAAGGCTTCAGAAAGCATCAGTGCAAACAGCTGAGGGGCTGCCGCATCATCGCTGCTGCGCAAACCTAAAGCCTCAGGAAATTCTCCTATTGCCACAAAAGCATCTCAACAGTAAAAAAAAGTTATAGAGGAGCAAGAGAAAGTCATTGGTGGTGTTGCAGGACCTAGGAGGGTCTACCCCCTCTCCGGTCTATGGACACCTCAGATCTGTTTCTTTCCTAACACTAGGTGAAGTGCACCAGCGGTGCCTCTGCATCCGTCCTTTCCCAGAGCTCCACAGACTGAGGGAGAAAGGAGTTTTTACTATATGGAGGAGGAGGCTGAGAGCTGGAAATTTTAGATCCTAGGATATGTTTTAGGCTTGTTTCTGCTTTTTATACAGTTCTTGCAAAGGCTGCTTTTGGATATTGACTGCTTCATCCTTCAAATGTTTAACCACAGACAATTTGCTTTGCCTCCTGTAAGCAGCACATCCCACAGTTTACTGAGTGGGTTATGCCCTGAAGTGAGTTATTTAGACACCATGACCAGCCTAAAGACTGCTGTCTGTTCTGGTGGTCTTCCCCATCTCTAAAAAGAGACCTCCCTTCCCATAAAACATGGTGTGAATGTCTGCAGGCTCTGGCATTGTCCCCATGGGAAGCTGGTGGCATGGTTAGGCTGGCATTTCTTCCAAAGAGCTGTTTTAGTTTGACATATTCTACATCACTGCCAACATCTTTTGGCTTTAGGTGAAGTTTGTTGTATTTCTGATGGAGCTCATCTGTGTGCAGTAAATGTTGAATACAATGCATTGATCAGAGGTGCAGCAAAGTGACACTTTTTGTCTCAGTAATTCATAGCGTGTGTGTATTTTATATATGTGTGTGGATTTTACATAGATATGTGTGTATGATGTAGATTTGGTGCACCTTGCATGGCTGATGATGAGAAAGCTAACACTTAAACAGTAGTTGAGAGAAAAGGTTGTGAGGTTTGTTTTTCCTGTTGTTGTGGGATTTAACTGCATGTGTTTTTGCTACACAGTTAGCTCCAGTTTGGGATGAGCATGTGGGGTGAAGGAGGGGTTTGGCAGAACGGTTCAGGGCTCCTGCTCCTTCAGCTCAGGTGCATGGCAAAGATGGTTGATCTGGAGATGAGTAAGGCTCAGCTTTTCTTACTGCCTTAAGCAGATTTCTCAGCTTTTGTCTCTGATTTCCACACCATCCTCCCCCTTCAGTTTTGGGTTTTCCCACTTACTGGCATTTTTTCCTTGCATATTCCTTCGGATGTGATGGTGCAGTTAGTACTTGGACGTGCTTTAGGATCCTCTGATGGAGGAGGAGGTGGGAGTGGGGTGCATTTGCCACCAAGTTCTTTCCAAGCCGGCGTCTCGGGGCTGAGAGCTGGTCAGCGGGCACATGGCGGGAGGAGCAGCTCAGCCTGGCTGGGCTTTTAGTCCTGGTTGAATGCTCAGTGCATTACTGTTAGCTGGGACAAGTTCCAAGCTCCATTTACGTCTGGCAGAAGCATATATCAAGAGTGCAGAAGGATTTAATTGGACAGGTTTATCCCTTTAACAATTCTGATAGCCCTAAGTTTTTTCCTTCCAGGTATGTGGTGAGCAGAGTCTTTATCGGCTCTTCTGCTCCCTGATAGGGACAATAAAAGGTTTCATTTGTCTAAAGAGCTGCAAAAATTGGCATGCAGCAAAGCATCTCTCAGGCCAGTTTGGAGCATCTCCCAACTCCCTCCTCTCTCAGTGACACTGACCTGGTGAGAAATAGGCAATGTGGGCACTGCGGCTTTCTCTTCCCTCCCTTGCTTTTGGGGGTATTGCTGTCCTCTGGTCCTGGTGGCATGTGGTCTGCAGGGCAGGCAGCGAAGGGGGTCAGCATTCAGCA